TTTTTTTTTTTTTTTTGACCCCTAGATATCCAGGAGTCTAATTTTGTCCCCATGCTGCGACGTTGCAGCGCGGGAACATTTTTTCATTCCCACACAGGGGTTTGAGACGTGTGTGTTCGTCTGGATGCGCCCTTTAAGGGCAAAATTCTGGCCCCATTGAAGTCCAAGGGAAACTCTCATTTAAATCAATACAGACATGATTGTGCCTTAACTGCTATATCTTCAAAGCAGTGCTCTTGGGTAAGAAGCATTCATTCTGAGCAGAATTACGGGGGAAGAAAGTTAGTGAGGTTAAGGCCCACTTCTGTCAAATCCCATGGACTCACGTGTCTAGCACAGAGGGGAACCAGACTAAAGATAGGTTATGATTCAGAAGATCTGGGCTCCCAAATCTCAGATCCGAATGTAGTACTCTGGGGCATTGTTAAGATCCATCTCTCTGACTGGAAATGTATTTTATTTATCCAGGATTTGAAACTGCAAAGTCCTTTGCACTTCATGGGGCATATGTTATCCTCGCCTGCAGAAATATGTCAAGAGCCAGTGATGCTGTACAGCACATCCTAGCTGAATGGGTATGGAAGCATGCATATTTTTCAATACTAAGTCATTTCTATCTGAATTATGAAGTAATATGAAGTCTTGTGCAGTGATGACAGTTTTGATATTTATCTGAATCTAAGAAAACAGCCTTTTTTCCTTTAGTGTTCACTTTGACACTTGAACTTTGCTAATATTTACTGAATAATAGAGAGTTACTATTTTTTTCTAACCTGTGCAACCAAATTGTAGGTACTGGCATGCTTCTGAGGTATTTACATGGTAAAAAGTTAGCGAGAATCAATTAAGTCCACTCTGCTGGTCAAGTAAAAGATAATTTCTTAAGCACCCCAAATGCATGTATAATTGCACCTGGACTTATATAGGTGGCTCCTGCTTGGAAAATTACAAGTTGTTCTGTACTAAAAGGTAAGATCCTTTAACAGAGTCATTCTTGTCTGGTTCTTAGATAACCATTTGTGTTTGTATTTTTGGTCGTCCCTCCCAACTTGCCTTCTTTTCCTTTCACTCTTCTTTGTCCTCTCTCCCCCTTGTATTGTTCTGCACATACGTTATTATCTGCTCCCTTCCCACATTTCTCATCGCCTTTTCCATCAGTGATCCTTTTGCTGCAGTCCCAGCCCTCTGTTGCTGATCTCCCACAAGACCTTTGCTTTCCAGCATTCCTAACTCATTCTCCCTACATTCATTCAGTAGGTCTTGTGGGTAACTTTTTGTCCCCATTTTGCCGTAACTGCTATAACTCTGGAGGTTGTAGCTGGCAGCCTTCTGTCTGCGAACCTGATTGTTGCACCCTTTACACCAGTCTGAATGCACTTCGGGGAACATTTTGTTTGACTGAGTGACAGAACCCAGCCCTTGGTTTCTTGTCTCTCTTCTGCTAACGTCGCAGTGCTGAGAGCGGTATGATGCGTTTGCTCCCAGTGTTTGGGAGATAAAGCTGTTTAAGGTACTCCCAGATGTTAAGGGATAGCATTCAGCAGCATTTTATGATGGGGAGTACTATGTACAAATATCTGAAACTACTACTGGCGCTTGCTTTCTTGAAGAAGGTGTTTGAATTAATGCCTTCTTCCTCTTGGGCAGTTGAGTTTTAAAGTACTTCTTTTGGATTTATTTTTTTCTTTTGTTTTCTTAATAGAAGCTCAAACTGTCTGTTTTCTTTGGTTCAGTAACACCAGTGGACTATGTAAGGAGAGATTGTACTTGTGTTACTGTATTTGCTCATAAAATATTTTCCAACATGCTAGGGTTTGGAGTATTTCCTCTTCTGAACTAATGTATTTACTTATAGAAAGTTAGAAAAAATGAAAGTAAACTATAAGGGTGAAATCTGGTAAATATGAAACTTTGCCGACTTATTTTTAAAAGGAATTTTCCAGAAGGGATCAAAGTCAGGAAAAGCAACAATTGTATTTAGTTCTTTGCGCAGACAGTGGGAGTACAAGAGTACTTGTGTTAGTACATATATTACCTCGCCAAAAGGTAATGAATTGGTAATTGAATGCAGATCACTGTCTTGATTCAAATTACTTAAAAAAAACACTACCTTTATTTACTAACAGTTCTCAAATTCTAATTGTTCAAAATACAATCTCATCTGTAAGCTGGGTAGCTGGAGAACCTTCAATGCATCTTTGTAATGGCTTTGTTGTTGTTTATTGAGAGGGACTAATTAACTTTGATTATTGCACTAATATTATGGCACTTTGACAGTCCCTCAGATTTATGACTCTGGGAAAATAAACAAATGAAATGCAGGTGCTGGAGCAGAAAGAATAAGTTATTACTGAACTTTAATTACTTTGAGTGTGTAACCAGGAGAGAATTAGTTGATGAATTACAGGATGCTTAAAATTTACATCAAATTGTAAGCAATTCTGACGAAAAAACCCAGAGCTATTGCAAACAAAAAAAGGAGGGAAGACAGTTTTACTTATGAAAGTGTTACAGTTGTAATTTAATGGACACAAATGTTACATGATTGATGTACCTTTTTTTTAATGAATGTATATGAATTATAGCGTATAAAATGTTGTTAATTTGAAAATTCACCTTTCCTACAGGAGGAGTGCATTTCAAAGGGAAAAAAATGTTACTCAGTTGTATTCCCCCTGCAGGGCAATTATGTTGTTTCCTCCAGCATTGGGGAACTTTGGCTTATATGATCAAGGCCAAATGGTTCACTTCAGTTTAACTTGTGAATTTAGGAATATGCTCCTTGGGACAATCCTGCAAAACCTAGCACACAAGTAACATTGCTCATTTGAGGTAGGACCATCAAAATACAATTACAGCTCACAGGACTGTGTTGACTCATGCTTTGTAAGACTGAGCTGTTCCTTTGCTCTGTGGAAGTACATTCTGCATCTGGTAAATTCTCCCATGAAGTGGATGAAACTGTGTCTTAATCCACAGTTAATGGAAATCTAATGCTGTTTCTCTAAAAAACTGTTTACAAACTTTTTTGGTTATATTTTCCTTGGGCACAGAGCATGCTATTTTTAGATGTTTGATAATTCTTTAAAAATGAAATAAGTAACAAAAGCGCGCTACTGCAATAATGAACTTTAGGTGTCACCTATCCTTGCTTATGATGATAAACCTGGTGTATTTACAAGAATAACACAAATATATTTCAAAGGGCTGTGTGTATCTTAAGACTTGATAAATGTTTTGAGAAATAATAGGACTGTGTTATTAAAGATAATGGTTCATTTAGTTCATAATGCATGTTAACTAGTGGGCAGAGTTAAGGTTGCAAATTAGAATTAAGGCTTACATATCTGAAACTTTGTTTTACATCCTCTTAATGTAGGACCAAATAGAGAGAAATGGAGACCGGGTACAGAAGTTACATTTATTGTGCAATAGGCTTTACAGTCATAACTGAATAGATGGTCAGTGTGCATAGAGCGTGGTAAACATGGCAGATTTTGCTCAAAGATAACCCTGGATGGATGTGGTATCAGAGTTCAGCGCTGAAGGTTATAGCACCATACTGAACATCTGTATCACATCCCATTGTGACTCACAGTAGGTCACATTCCACCGACATTCCCTGGAGCATTGCGGCACCCTGCTAACTCCTCCCCCAGTACCTTGTGGGGCGGCAGTCTAGCCTAAGTCAGAGCTTGTCTCCTCTGCCTAAGCGTCAGGCTGGCCCTGCCACCGGGCTCTCGCTGACAAGAGTCAATGAAGAATCTGTCCCCAGGCCTGCCATCCATACACATAAAACTGCTTCTTGCTGAATTTCTGTTATTGCATATTGTCATGGGTGCAGATGAGCAAGTGCTGAATGTGGGTCTACTGCTATTTTTCACACAGTTAATCTGTTTTAATAACTGATTCATCTGCACTGATTTCTGGCAATAGGCAAGTTCCCTAATGTAAGTAAAAAGTATACTTGAACACGGCCAAAGTCTGCATCAGCTCCCCTGTGCATACTTATATCTAGCATCACTGCTTTCTGACTTGTCTGGGGAAACCGAATGCATGTGTAAAACGTAGGTTGTGACAAGCATTTATACTGCCTGTGCTCATTACAGGTTGCAGGACCAGAAACCCATGGAGCCAGCTCACAGGCCCAAAGTTCTAGAAACCTTGGATGCATTCAGTGGCCCATAGTCAGCCAACGTGTGTGTAATGGCCAAGCCATGTGATAATGTCCTCAGTGGCCATGAGCAGTTCCTGTAGTCCACCACTGAACTTAGTCAGCAGGTAATCATTGACAATATGCGACATGGTGTGTGTTTTGCCACAGCTATGGTCTGGCTTGTGTCGAAGACCCCAGTGGTGGCGGTTGGCCACGCACAGACCTTGCCCTGTCTGGAACCTGTTCAGCCAGGCCCCTGATGGCATGACAGCTTCGCTTGGCAGCCACAGATTCTCACCATTAAGTTGTAAGAGTCCGAGTGCAGGCCCAATGCCATGAAAGCGATAGGATTGCATGATGTCTGGGTAGTCAGTGTCAGTGACACTGCGATTCCTCAAAAAGTTTGCAGAATTCATTTTGCTAGAAGGAACATTAATTTCCCTGGTGTGGACCAGGTACAGACAGTTAGCATGATGTGAACGCTGATCCGGTGCCAGCCGTGGCCCATAAAGAATCAGAGAGTTTTTCTCTGGTCTCGTGTCTTAAAGTCAATTTCTGTCAATCCTGGTTACTCAAGTAATTGTTTGGAACCACGTGCACTTCATAGAAAGCTGGTTCACACAGTCCGTTACAGAGTTTGGGGTATGCTGCTGGGAGTCCCATAGATACCTATGTAGGGCACCTAGCATTTTTGGTCAAGCTCCCACATTGTTTGTTTTATTAATTACTGTTGTTCAGTTGTCGCTTTTCCTGGCTATATGAATAATAATATTCATATATTGGAAATGAATAGTATATTGGATATGAATAGCAATATTCATATGTTGGGTATTGGGAAAAACTTTCTCACTAGGAGGGTCGTGAAGCACTGGAACAGGTTACCCAGAGAGACGGTGGAATCTCCATCCTTGGAACTTTTTAAGGCCCAGCTCAACAAAGCCTTGGCTGGAATGATCTAGTTGGGGATGGTCCTGTTTTGAGCAAGGGGTTGGACTAGATGACCTCCTGAGGTCTCTTCGAAATCTGACTTTCTGTGATTCTATAATAGTCAATGGTCTTGCCAGTCTTAATGTAGTGTTCCCTTTTTAGAGCACCCCCCCCCCCCCCC